TACAGATTTTCCAGTCCCTCTTCCAACACATTCCTTTTATCTAGTTATTGTTTGCAGATTGGGTTGATATCTCTTTGGAATTTGCATTCTTTTCTGAAAACTCTTGTGCTGGTTGTTTCTTTTAGGAATCCAAAACGTTCTCAGCCTCTTCTGTGCGGTGCTGACCGAAAACAAAGTCCTCTTCCATTCCACCAGTTTCCAGCGTCTCAGTGATGCTTGCCGGGCGTTAGAAGCGCTCATGTACCCTCTGAAGTACAGGTGAGCTTAAAAAACTGGCACATACTGCCCTATTTATGTAAGAGTTTTATCAATGGCATAAGTATTCAGACCCTTTGCAACAACACTTGAAATTTTGCTCAGGTGCCTCCCACTTCTCTTGATCGTTGCTGAGATGTTTCTACACCTTGATTGGAGTCCAAATGTGGTAAAACAAATTGATTGGACATGGTTTGGAAAGGTACACACCTCTCTATGAAAGGCCTAGCTACTGACAATGCATACTGTATCAGAGCAAAAGCCATGAGGTTAAAGGAACTGCCTGCAAAGCTCAGAGACAGGATTATTACAAGGCACAGATCTGGGGAAGGCTACAAAAAAAAATTTCTGGTGCACTAAAGGGTCCCAAGAGCACAGTGGCCTCCATAATTCTCAAATGGAAGAAGTTTGGCACAACCAGGACTCTTCCAAGAGCTGGTCGCTTGCCAAACTGAGAAATCGAGGGAGAAGGGCCTTAGTAAGAGAGGTGACCAAAAACCCAATGGTCACTTCTGAGTGAGCTGTGTGGAGATGGGACAAAGATCCAGAAGGAAAACCATCACTATAGCCCTCCACCAATCTGGGCTTTATGGCAAAGTGGCTAGACGGAATCCTCTCCTTAGTGCTCCGCTTGGAGTTTGCAAAAAAACTTTTGCAAACTCCAAGGAGGATTTCATGTGTTTTGCACTGAGGAGAGACTATAAGGAAAAACATAAAAAAAAACAAGCATTAATAAGGTCTTTCTTTCCTGAGCTTGAAGTCCCAGTCATGATATTGTAATGGTGAGGATGGGCATAGACATGTGTTCCCTAGTAATCTGAAATCCTGTCATCAACCTAAGGAATTGCAGGTAAAAGCACAAAAAAATCAAGTGTTTATTAGCCTTTACTTGCAGTGTTTTCCTTTTTCGGAAAATATTTTTGTTAACTGCAATGTGCCTGTGAACTTGATGAAAATTTGCATTACTCCAGGAAAAGTCAATTCCATAGCACAGCCCCTCCCTTCTTGTATGGCATAGCCCTCTTTTCTTCTGAGAGTGTTTAATCACCCTCTGTGCTGGCCCAGCTCCTCTGCCTGTAACCACATAACCTCTTATGTAGCTGCTGGGGAACGAGCAAAGGGAAATACTATACACGAGTGACACTTGTGTAGTAGTTCTGAGTGTACTGTGGTTGCTGACATCTTTGAAATGGCAGTACCTAACAGCAGTCTTGGGTCTTTTGGGGTCTACACATAGGAGGCTTTTTCAGGTATAAGACCCCCTACATGAACATTTTTGTAGCTGCCAAGAGAGGAGTCAAGGGAACACTGTAGAGTAGTGGCTATCAACCTTTTTGAGCCCAAGGCCTGGCAAATTCTTCCAAAACTTTCTATGCTCCAAACGTAAGAATACGTTTTTGCTAACTGTTAATTCAGTCAACAAAAACCTTTTCATCATAGTTTTCTCCAGCTGCATGTTTTCAGTGATGAAAACTAAACGAAAATAAAATTCAGTTTCAATTCAGATGATTAAAATACGTCTAAAACGAAAACGGCATTTTAGTCAAAAGTCTGTGACTAAAAGGAAATCGAAATTTGACGTCAAAATTAACACTGATGCTAACACAATAAAAGTATGGAAACACAATTGTGATGGATGGGGTCTCCGGGGGGTGTGGGTCTCTACAGGAGACTGGGGGCTTTCCAGGGGCAATTTGATAGACTGGAGTACACTGGGAGGGAGCACTATGAGACACTGTTGGAGGTTAGAGGCAATATGGGTGGGCTGGAGTACACTGGGAGGGAGCACTATGAGACACTGTTGGAGGTTAAAGGCACTATGGGTGGGCTGGAGTACCCTGGGAGGGAGCACTATGAGACACTGTTGGAGATTAGAGGCAATATGGGTGGGATGGAGTACACTGGGAGGGAGCACTATGAGACACTGTTGGAGATTAGAGGCACTATGGGTGGGCTGGAGTACAATGGGAGGGAGCACTATGAGACACTGTTGGAAGTTAAAGGCACTATGGGTGGGATGGAGTACCCTGGGAGGGAGCACTATGAGACACTGTTGGAGATTAGAGGCAATATGGGTGGGATGGAGTACACTGGGAGGGAGCACTATGAGACACTGTTGGAGATTAGAGGCACTATGGGTGGGCTGGAGTACAATGGGAGGGAGCACTATGAGACACTGTTGGAGGTTAACGGCACTATGGGTGGGATGGAGTACCCTGGGAGGGAGCACTATGAGACACTGTTGGAGATTAGAGGCAATATGGGTGGGCTGGAAGCTTTGCAACAAGCTATGGGGCAGTGTGGGGGGCTGAGGGCTCTCTGGGGACCTGAGGACACTGTGGGAGGTTGAAGGGCACAGTTGACGATTACAGGAGGTTAGATGGCACTGTGGGAGTTTAGGGGTATCTGCGAAGGAGGCACTGTAAGAGGTTAGGCGGTCTGCGGTTTGCTGAAAACCTAGGAGGGGATGGCGGCCACGGTCTGGCAATGGGCCACAGCCATGTGGTTGGGAACCACTCCTATAGACTGTCTCATCACATCCAGCAGCAGTCTTGGGGCTTTTGGGGCCTACACAAGGGACATTTTACAGGTATATTTTATTTGGATGAAATATGTTAAATGCACATACATCACAGAAGATTCTTTCCGAAATTAATTATACAGTTAATTGGGATTGTCAATAGTTCTACGTGATATTATGGATCAAAATTTGCTTCACCAAACAAAATGAATTCCCTCCATACATGCAAGTGTTGTCCGTCTAATATGTATACCTGTACCTAAATCTTTGTAATTCATTAAAATCTCTTTCCACTTGGCCCCCATCACCCTTCTTCTACCCCTCTCTCTCGTTGTCTTACAGTTATCCCTACATTCCAATCCTTCCAGCGCAGCTTCTCGAAGTCTTAAGCTCTCCAACGCCGTTCATTATCGGGGTCCATTCTGTCTTCTGCTCAGAGATCCATGACCTGGTAAGGGGGTGAAGCCGCCGGTTTCAGGCGGTTTATCGCTGTCTTGTATTAAATGCACAGTTAGTCATTGTATCTGATTTATCTCCATTCCAGTGTTGGTGTGTATGTTTCACACGTACAAATCCCAGTGACATGTAAAGTAGCAGCGGGTTATGATGGGGAGTTATGAATTCCATATGTTTCCCAACTATTTAGAAACTGGTTTTATCCAGAGCTTCGCCAGGAGTCCCGTCTCATCATGTGCCGGTGAGCTGCTAGGGAGACAGGTGCCGGTGAGGACTGCTGAATTTATGACTTCTCACCGTGTCCCCATACTACCGTGGTTTTAACTCTTTCATGCTATCTGTCTGTAGAGATCTTGTCTGACATATCTAGTGCCGCCAGCTACACATCAGGATTCTCTTCAGCTTAAATGATAAGATTCTGTTAGTCTAACCATCGCTCTCCCTCCAGTCTTAGCAATAAAATGTAATAGGACTTTATAGCTTAGATGATCTTATATTGCAAACGTGAAAAAGTCGAGATTCGGATTTTATAGAGTATGATGTCTTCATGCAGTGGGGAGGGGGGTTTGTGGTCTTATATGAGTGAAATAGTTCTGTAAGATAAAGCCTGTGGGAGTTGGCTTTCAGTATTTACCTTTTGTGTCACAATACCACCCTTGAGTGCCAGCTGACCACCCTGGGATCAGGCCAGGGCATTACACAATGCGCAACGGATCAAATTCAAAATCCTAACACTGACGTACAAAGCCGTCCACCATACTGCCCCGAACTACATCACTGACCTAATATCCAAGTACCACCCAGCACGCACACTCCGCTCCTCACAAGACCTCCTTCTCTCTAGTTCCCTGGTCTCCTCCTCCCATGCCCGCCTCCAGGACTTCTCCAGGGTGTCACCCATCCTCTGGAACTCCCTGCCCCAACCCATCAGATTATCACCTACTCTCCTCTTCTTTAGGCGCACCCTGAAAAACCCATCTCTTCAGGGAAGCCTACCCCACCCCCTGCTAACTTGTCGACCTCCTCCACTCTTCCTACCACCCCATCCCCCACAGCTATCTCCTCCTGTACCACCATCCCCTCCCTCCTAGATTGTAAGCTCGAAAGAGCAGGGCCCTCGATCCCCTCATGTTTTGCATTGTATTGGTATTGTTCTGTCACATGTTCTGTCCCCCTTTGCAATGTACAACGCTGAGCGAACTATCGGCGCTTTATAAATACTGTATAATAATAATTATTCGTTAGGACCACTGTCCTGTCAGCTCAGGGCAGGTAGGGGGAAATATAAGTGCCACTACCAAAGGTCTATGAAAAGTCCACGATCTACACAATGTGTTTTGGGGGTTAAAGCATAACTTCTTCATTGGGGCTAAAGTGATTTAGATCAGCCTTTTTTTCAGACCGGGTCACACAAACAGTAGCTTTCCTCTAAAGGTTATTAGGGGTTCCCTAAGCAGTAGCAGCTTGTCCTTTTGCATAATTGTGGATACATTGTTCTGGCAGGAGTCAGCAGCAGGAGACCAGTGAAGATTTACTTTCTCTTTTCTCATATAAGGTGGCATCTATCTCACTGACCACCAGGTTAAAGGACATTCTTCCCACTGACCACCAATGTAAGGGACATTCATCCCATTGACAGCCAATATAAGGGACATTTTCCCCACTGACCACCAATGTAAGGGGCATACCTCTCACTGATCACCAATGTAAGGAGAATTCTTTCCACTGACTCCCAATGTAAGGGACTTTCTTCCCACTGATCACCAATGTAAGGGACATTCTTCCCTGACTGACCCCCCAATGTAAGGGACATTCTTCCCACTGACAGCCAATATAAGGAACATTTTCCCCACTGACCACCAATGTAAGGGGCATACCTCTCACTGATCACCAATGTAAGGATAATTCTTTCCACTGACTCCCAATGTAAGGGACATTCTTCCCACTGACCCCCAATGTAAGGGACATTCTTTCCCTGTTCTTCCCACTGACCGCCAATGTAAGGAACATTCTTCCCACTGATCACCAATGTAAGGAACATTCTTCCCACTGACCCCCAATGTAAAGGACATTCTTCCCACTGACCACCAATGTAAGGGACATTCATCCCATTGACAGCCAATATAAGGGACATTTTCCCCACTGACCACCAATGTAAGGGGCATACCTCTCACTGATCACCAATGTAAGGAGAATTCTTTCCACTGACTCCCAATGTAAGGGACATTCTTCCCACTGACCCCCCAATGTAAGGAACATTCTTCCCAATGACCCCCAATGTAAGGAGCATTCTTCCCACTGATCCCCAATGTAAGGGACGTTCTTCCCACTGACCCCTAATGTAAGGAACATTCTTCCCACTGACCCCTAATGTAAGGAACATTCTTCCCACTGACCACCAATGTAAGGAGCATTCTTCCCACTGACCCCTAATGTAAGGAACATTCTTCCCACTGACCCCCAATGTAAGGAACATTCTTCCCACTGACCCCCAATGTAAGGGACATTCTTCCCACTGACCCCCAATGTAAGGGACATTCTTCCCACTGACCCTCAATGTAAGGGACATTCTTCCCACTGACCCCCAATGTAAGGGACATTCTTCCCACTGACCCCCAATGTAAGGGACATTCTTCCCACTGACCCCAATGTAAGGGACATTCTTCCCACTGACCACCAATGTAAGGGACATTCTTCCCACTGACCCCCAATGTAAGGGACATTCTTCCCACTGACCCCCAATGTAAGGGACATTCTTCCCACTGACCACCAATGTAAGGAACATTCTTCCCACTGACCATCAATTTAAGGAACATTCTTCCCACTGACCCCCAATGTAAGGGACATTCTTCCCACTGACCATCAATTTAAGGAACATTCTTCCCACTGACCATCAATTTAAGGAACATGGCTTATTCTTGTGGACTTTTATCATTAAAGCCTGCTTCACAAATATTGCATGCCTTTTGAATGGCACTCATCTTAGTGTCACCTTTTGGATGCAATAAAGGCATGCATCATCAAGCATTGTGGTACAATACTTCAGGAAAAATAGTGAGATGCATTTTCTGATCTATAGACACTATAGGGTTTTTTAATAAAACCGGAGAGTGCAAAATCTGGTGCAGTTCTGCATAGAAACCAATCAACTTCCAAGTTTTATTGCCAGAGCCTTATTGAAGAAGTTAGAAGCTGATATATATATGTATGTATATATATATATATATATATATATATATATATATATACATATATATATATACAGTGGGGCAAAAAAGTATTTAGTCACCACCAATTGTGCAAGTTCTCCCACTTACAAAGATGAGAGAGGCCTGTAATTGGCATCATAGGTAGACCTCAACTATGAGAGACAAAATGAGAAAACAAATCCAGACAATCACATTGGCTGATCTGGAAAGAATTTATTTGCAAATTATGGTGGAAAATAAGTATTTGGTCACCTACAAACAAGCAAGATTTCTGGCTCTCACAGACCTGTACCTTCTTCTTTTTAAGAGGCTCCTCTGTCCTGCACTCATTACCTGTATCAATGGCACCTGTTTGAACTTGTTATCAGTATAAAAGACACCTGTCCACAACCTCAAACAGTCACACTCCAAACTCCACTATGGTGAAGATCAGAGAGCTGTCGAAGGACACCAGAAACAAAATTGTAGACCTGTACCAGGCTGGGAAGACTGAATCTGCAATAGGCAAGCAGCTTGGTGTGAACAAATCAACTGTGGGAGCAATAATTAGTGTTATATAGCATCGTCAATTTACGCAGCACTTTACATACCGGTATATATTGTACATTCACTTCAGTCCCTAACCCTCAAGGTGCATACAATGTAAGGTCCCTAACTCACATTCATACATACACATTCTAGGGCCAATTTAGATAGGAGCCAATTAATGTACCAGCATGTCTTTGGAGTGTGGGAGGAAACCCACGCAGGCACAGGGAGATCATGCAAACTCCAGGCAGGTGGTGCCATGGTTGGGATTCGAACCAACGACACTAGTGCTATCAGGTGGAAGGGCTAACCACTGTGCTGCAATGCACAGCTGCACCAGATTTTGAGTGCTCCAGTAAATCTTCCCCAATTAAACTAAATTGATTTTGGACCCAGTGCCTACCATCCACATCCTCCATACTGTCAACCCAGAGGTCACCCCACAAGATCCTCTGGTACAGATCAAGTGACGAGCACAGAATCATGTGGCCGAAGATTGAAGTCCATTTCAGAAGCCTGTGGAATCTGCCTGCAGTGAATATGTAGCAGTATCGTGGACAGAAGATCTACAGTAAATGTTGGATAGTGGGAACCATAACATGATCAGCCACAATGGACCGTCTTTCTGTTGCCCAGTTGCACTTCCCCCTTAACTTGCTGCGGACTGTTTGTATCCAGTGACTTCAGTAACCGCATTTCCCAGCAATTTAGTTCGGAGATCCTCTTGAAAAAAAAGTTCTTTTGGGTTTGCAGCAAGTGCTCCTGGGAAAACGATGGCAGCTGTGGCCTTTTTTTTATCAGCTCATTTGTTGATTTATACATGCTGATTGCATGTTACATGGATGAGCTGTACTGGTATGAGTAGTAGCAGTGGGGCATAGAAAAAATGCAATGATTTCCATATGTCTTATAAACTAGTTCGATCCGGTGCTTCACCAGGAGCTCTGTCATCTGGTGGGGAGCTGCTTCCAAGACAGGTGCCAAAAATGGGAATTTATTGTCCATTATCACTGCCGGCGGGAGATCGGAACCTGAGAGCCAAGCATCAGGCGGTTTGCAAGGGCTACTTTATCTGTGCTTGTAAAAGTATTATGCAATATCAATGCAGGCACATATCTGTCATAAAGATAATTCTGTGAATTGCTAATTCTGTTCAGGAAACACATCATTCACAAATCCATGTTGTTTACCCCAGTCTGAGTTTTAAAGGATTCAAAAGCAAACAATGTCCTCAGCTGGGCTGTGTATTATAGACATCAGCCGCTGGAATGCTATCCGTTTGCTTAATCCAAAGTATGTCCTGGTCTAACATGGACTGTTATACAGGTGTACATCGGTTTACCAATTTATTGCGTTCTGCGGGACGTTTCGTATTGCGAAAAGTTTGTAAACCAAAACACGGTTTCCTGTAGGAATGCATTGAAAACCAATTAAAAAGTTTCCGGAGGCCAGAAGAAAGTAAAAAAAAGTCTTTATCTGTTCAAAACTCTTTATAAAGTGCACTTTAAAGGCATGAATACTGTACAGGGATATGATTAAAAATTTCCAGAATAGCTCCAAAACTCGATGCAAAAACCGCTCCAACACCTCCACACTTGAAGTCATGTTCTACCCAGAGACTCCAGCATGCACGGGGCCAGCGCTATAAACCGCTATAAACCAATTAATCCGTTCCGGAAGCCAGAAGAAAGTAAAAAAAAGTCTTTATCTGTTCAAAACTCTTTATAAAGTGCACTTTAACCTGTTGCCGACCGCAGATAGCCGAATGACGGCTTCACTGCGGCCGGCCAGTTCTGGGTGGACGTCATATGACGTCCCCCCAGAACGCGCTCTCCCCGGCGATCTCCGTGATCGCTGTGTCCTGCGGACATAGCTGGTCACGAGATGTGGTAAAAGGCCGATCATATCGGCCTTTTACCACGTGATCAGCGGTTTTCAATGACACGCTGATCACAGGGAAATGCAAGTGCCGGTTCTCGGCTGCACTTTCCTCACGCTGTCAGATCGTGAGGAAAGTACTGCCGAGAACCGGCAGTTGTCAGAGCGAGGATCGGCACCGATCATCAGGGCCACTGATGATCAGTGCCCTGATGATCGGTGCCCAGCAGTGCCACCCACAAGTTCCGCCCACCTGTGCCCAGCAGTGCGCCCACTAGCTCCGCCCACCTGTGCCCAGCAGTGCACCCACCTGTGCCCAGCAGTGCACCCACCTGTGCCACTCTGCAGTGCCACCTACCTGTGCCCAGAAGTGCCACCTACCTGTGCCCAGAAGTGCCCCCACCTGTGCCCACCCACCTTTGCCCACCAGTGCCACCGACCTGTGCCCACCCACCAGTGCTGCCCACCAGTGCCGCCCACCAGTGCAGCCCAGCAGTGCTGCTAGTCAGTGCCACCAGTCAGTGCCCAGGGGTTGTGCCAGTCAGTGCCGCCAGTCGGTGCCCAGCAGTGATGCCAGTCAGTGCCGTCTATCAGTACCCATCATCAGTGTCACCTATCAGTGCCGCCTATCAGTGCTGCATATTAGTGCCGCCTATCCGTGACACCTTATTAGTACTGCCTATCAGTGCCCTTTAGTGCTGCCTATCAGTGCCCATCAGTGCCGCCTATCAGTGCCCATCAGTGCTGCCTCATCAATGCACATCAGTGAAGGAGAAAAAATACCTGTTTGAAAAATTTTATAATAGAAACAAAGAAAAACTTTTTTTTTTTTTCAAATTTTTTGCAATTTTTTAATTTATAGCGCAAAAAGTAAAGTGCCCAGTGGCGATTAAATACCACCAAAAGAAAGCTCTATTTGTGAGAAAAAAATGATCAAAATTTCATATGGGTACAATGTTGCATGACCGCGCAATTGTCAATCAAAGTGCGGCAGCGCTGAAAGCTGAAAATTGGCCTGGTAAGGAAGGGGGTATAAGTGCCCTGGTAGGCAAGTGGTTAAAGGCATAAATACTGTACAGGGACATGATTAAAAATTTCCAGAATAGCTCCAAAACTCGATGCAAAATCCGCTCCAACACCTCCACACTTGAAGTCATGTTTTACCCACAGACTCCAGCATGCACGGGGCCGGTGCTATAAACCTCCCAGGCGCAATTCATCCTGGGGAAACTTGCTTCATATTGCAAAATAAACTTGAAAATGCATTGAAAACCAATTAATCCGTTCTGGAGGTCAGAAAAAAGTTAAAAAAAAAAAAAAAAAAAAAGTCCTAATCTGTTCAAAACTCTTTATAAAGTACACTTTAAAGCCATAAATACTGTACAGGGACATGATTCAAAATTTCCAAAATGGCTCTGAAACTCGATGCAAAATCCGCTCCAACATCTCCACACTCGACGCCACGGGCTACACACAGACTCCAGCATGCACGGGCCCAGCGCTATAAACCTCCCAGGTGCAATGCATCCTGGAGAAACTTGCTTCGTGTTGTGAAAAAAAATCGTAAATGTATTGAAAACCAATTAATCTGTTTCAGTGGCCAGAAAAAAGTAACAAAAAAAAAAGTATTTTATGTGTTCAAAACTCTTTATAAAGTGCACTTTAAAGGCATAAATACTGTACAGGGACATGATTAAAAATATCAGAATGGCTCCAAAACTCAATGCAAAAACCGCTCCAACACCTCCACACTCCACACCATGTGCTACCCACAGACTCCAGCATGCACAGGGCTTGCTCTATAAGCCTCTCATGCGCAATTCATCATGGGGAAACTTGCTTCGTGTTGTGAAAAAAAAAAATCGTAAATGCATTGAAAACCAATTAATCCGTTCCGGAAGCCAGAAAAAAGTAAAAAAAGTCTTTTATGTTTTGAAAACTCTTTATAAAGTACATAAATACTATATAGGGACATGATTAAAAATTTCCAGAATGGCTCCAAAACTCAATGCAAAATCCGCTCCAACACCTCCACACTCGACGCCACGTGTTACCCACAGACTCCAGCATGCACGGGGCCGGCGCTATAAACCTCCCAGGTGCAATGCATCCTGGGGAAACTTGCTTCGTATTGTGAAAAAAAAATCGTAAATGCATTGAAAACCAATTAATCCGTTCCGGAAGCCAGAAAAAAAGTTAAAAAAAAAAAGTCTTATCTGTTCAAAACTCTTTATAAAGTGCACTTTAAAAGGCATAAATACTGTACAGGGACATGATTAAAAATTAATTCGTAAATGCATTGAAAAGCAATTAATCCATTCTGGAGGTCACAAACAAAAAGTAAAAAAAAAAAGTCTTGTCTGTTCAAAACTCTATAAAGTGCATTTTAAAGGCACGGGGCCGGCGCTATAAAACCTCCCAGGCGCAGTGCATCCTGGGGAAACTTGCTTCGTATTGCGAAAAAAAATTCATAAACCAAGGTATTATTTTCAATGGATTTTCATTCGTAAACCGAAAATGGCGTTAACCGAGGTGTTCATAAACTAAGGTACGCCTGTACTTATAATGCATCAGCATTAGAAGCCCTGAAGAAGATATATGTAAATCCCAAAACGTGTTGGTTGTTGGCTTTAAAGGGATTCTAAAGGCATATTTAAAAAAACAAAACAAAAAAAACATGTCTCTATTTACCTGCTCTGTGTAGTGGTTTCACACAGAGCAGCCCAGATCCTCCTCTTCTCGGTTGCCCCGCCGGCACTCCTGTCCCCTCCCTCCTGCCGGGTCTCCCCACAGCAAGCAGCTTGCTATGGGGGCACCTTCTGTGCCGTGTGTCCATATGGAGCCACGCCTTGGCTCCACCCTCTCTTCTTATTGGCTCACTTGCTGTGATTGACAGCAGCGGAAGCCAATGAGAAGGAGTCCTGGGATAGCCGAGACTCAAGTGCACATTGCTGGATCGAGAGGGGGCTTAGGTGAGTATTGGGGGGGATGCTGCACAGAGAAGGCTTTTTACCTTTATGCATGAAGGTAAAAATCCTTCAGCCTTTACAACCACTTTAAAATGAAATAGCAGATGTGGTAAAGCACGTGGTCAGAATAGCACCAATTGCACAGCTCCCGATGTACACAGGACGATGTCTTTTGGCACACTGACTTATGAAGGTCAGTGCTCCCTGTGACTGTGCGTGCAGCTTTGTGCTGCCATCTGTTGGCGTGTTACAAAACTAGTCCTGAAACGTTTTGATACCTCCTCATATCTCCAAATCAGTGTATGTAATACAGTCAAGGAAATATGTTAACTTTACATCAGAAGTTGCTTTCAGTAAATGAGGCGATCAGGAGTGAGAGTCCCCAGAGAACCGAGGCTGGTTTCAGTCAATGCTATGGTAATATCTGTGTATCTGCAGAAAAAAATAAACTATAGTTTACCTGTAGGGCATGGTACTGCAGTCAAATTGAGCTGCTTGTATCCTAAAATCAGCCTGATCAGTTACTGCTGAGCTGTCAATCACTACGAGGCGTTCCGTTTTTTTTTTTCATCATCAGTTCAGTCTTGTTTTTTCAAAGAGAAAAATTGATCAATTTTTCCATCTGCTACCAGTGTGAAATGGATGCAAAAATGGACCGTTTATCTGTTTTACATCTGTTTTTTTGTCTGTTACGGGTTTTTTTTTTTAAAGAACATGGGGCTTTGATCCGTTCCAAAAAATAGATGTGGATGTAAATGGATGATCATCTGTTTACATCCGTTTTTCCATAGAGATGCGTTGATCTCCATTTTTCATCTGTCAACGCAAGAATGAAAAAATGGACAAACGGAAAGGGGCCTGAGACACCGCTCACATCGAGTGCAATTTGGCATGTGATTCGCACGCCATACGACTTGCAAATCACATGGCAAGTCGCACCCTGTTGTACGCAATTACAGCGGTCATATCGGGGCGGTTCTGACTTGGTCGGAGCCGCACCGATTTCTAAAGTAGTGTATGCACTACTTTTGGTGCGATTTGCATAGACATCTGTGTCAGATATCAGAAAAGGAGAGAGGGGGCGCCAAACTAAGTGCAGTATTAAAAGGTTATTTTTTATTGAGCAAGGTAACTCACTAGATTACAATGGAGAAAAGGCGTGTATCTCAGGATGGACGTTGTCCTTCAGAGGTCCCGGAGGCTGGTGGAGAGGGTGGAACATCTTCTAGGATCCAAGGCTGGTCTCTCAGTTCCACGCTGGTAGCGTCCAACGGCTGTGATGGAAACCAGGCTGGAACGCAAATGGCGGCCGGGCGGACATTACGTCACCACGTGAGCGCAATGCCGCAAGAGGGCGGCGTGTTTCGAAGCGTCAGCTTCTTCGTCAGACCTCTGTTCCGGATTACCCTATACTCCTCATTGGAAAACTGTATAATACGGACAACTCCCTTACAGTTTTGGACTTTTAGTTCTTCCTTTTCTCTCCAGCGCCAATTTTTTTAATTTTTGTGTCAGATATCTTGCACTTCAAATTGGCACGTCATCCGACTTCACTGTAATTCGCACGATTTCAAAGTTGGGATCGGTGTGACCGGGGAGTAACACCCAATTTTCCCAAAGCAGCCAATTATTGAGCAACGTTGAGTATTAAACTGAGCTCTGACAGTTCCACTTCACGCTTTGTACATTATATATCTCCATACCATACTACATTCCATACTACATTCCATACTACATGCTTTCCTATACATTATTGTTACTTAGTCATTTTTAATGACTAATCTCATGTTTCCTTCTCTTCCCAGAATTTCTCTTCATTTTTAATGTTTAATGAATATGTCAGTTCTCTTTGCAGAGACATCTCCATTAGAAAGAGAGCAGACAGAAAGTCCAGAAATGTTTCCAGATGTTTTAATCCAATTTATTGCATGTGACATTAATGTTTAGATTTTTTTTTTCTTTAATTGAAAGAATTTGCTTTTTTAATGGGAAATTCCAAGGCAAAAACGTACATTCATAACTGATCATTGTGATGCAAGGACGTATCAATATGGCTTCCACGTCAGGTTCTTTGTGGTCTTGGAGAGGTTGGCTGGAGCAGCATTCTTTAACGCCCGTTCCTAACCTCGGAAACTACTAAGCAACTTATTCCCTCCCTGGTTATCTCTCACCTTGATTATTGCAACTCCCTCCTCATTGGCTGATCTCATCGCAGGCTCTCCCCTCTTCAGTCTATCATGAATGCTGCTGCCAGACTCATCCACCTTACTAACCATTCTGTATCTGACACCCCTCTCTGCCAATCCCTCCACTGACCTCCACTCCTCCACCCCCCTCTCACTGACCTCCACTCCTCCACCCCTCTCTGCCATTCCCTCCACTGACCTCCACTCCTCCACCCCTCTCTGCCATTCCCTCCACTGGCTTCCACTCAGTGTCCTCCATCCCTCTCTGCCAGTCCCTCCACTGGCCTCCACTCAGTGTCCTCCACCCCTCTCTGCCAATCCACTCCTCCACTGGCCTCCACTCCACTCAGTGTCCTCCCCCTCTCTGCCAATCCCTCCATTGGCTTCCACTCAGTGTCCTCCATCCCTCTCTGCCAATCCCTCCACTGGCCTCCACTCAGTGTCCTCCATCCCTCTCTGCCAATCCCTCCACTGGCCTCCACTGGTCCTCCACCCCTCAGCCAATGTTCTCCACCCTCTCTGCCAATCCCGCCATCCACTCAGTGTCCTCCCTCTCTGCCATTCCAGTGTTCTGTTCTCACCCCTCTCTGGCAATCCCTCCACTGGCTTCCCATTGCCCAACGGATAAAATTCAAAACACTAACAATAACATATAAAGCCATATATAAATCTGCCCCAAGTTACATCACCAATTTTGTCTCCAAATATCACCCAAACCGTACTCTACACTCCTCGCACGACCTCCTGCTCTCTAGCTCTCTTGTCTCCTCCTCTCATGCTTGTCTCCAGGACTTCTCCAGAGTTTCCCCTATCCTCTGGAACTCTCTACCCCAATTTATAAGACTATCGCTTACTCTGCTCACTTTTAGGCGATCTCTGAAAACCTCTCTGGGAAGCCTATCCTGCCCTCAACTAACAATGGAATTTTCTACTCCTCCTATCAGTTCATCCCCCACAGTTATTACCTTTTGTACCACTAGCCCCTCCCTCATAGATTGTAAGCTCCCAGGATCAGGGCCCTCATAACCCTCTTGTATTGAACTGTATTATTGCTGTATTGTCTCCCGTTATATTGTAAAGCGCTGAGCAAACTGTTGGCGCCATAAAATGCTGTATAATAATAATAATGGGCCTTAGATTTGGCCTGCTCTGTCTTGGTGGTGCTTGGCTGCCATTTTGACTGATTTTTCCACTGATCTTGCTGAGCTAGTGAGAAGAATCTAAAAGGGAGGAGCAAGTAATACTAAAAAGTAATATTTGTGTGGGGATGAGTTGGTGGAGAAAGTAAAAGTTCATTTTTTTTAACCAAAAGGGTCAAGTATCTGGCTTCTTATCCCTATATGAATACATGTACCCAAGACATTTGGTTAAAGTTGATAAAAATCTATTTTAACCAAATGTCTTTTTCAATATATGTATGATCCTATTTGCTTCATTAAAGTCCCACTGGGGGTTCTTTGGATACAAGTTCTGTGTTTTTGGGTAGAGGCATGATAGGCTTCCCTTAATGGATGATACAGCAAAGGGTAATGGCGCGGGAGAGTAGTTCGACCTATACAACACAGGGAACTCAGCAGCAAGAACATATAAGTTCTTCATTTTCCAAAGGAGGACTTGACTTTGACTGGTTCAGGAACACCATTGTGCAGCACCTCTTGAGAGCCTAAAATGTAATGTGAAACGATAGATAAGGACAGCGGAGGGCACAATCTAAGTGTAGTAAATAAAATAAATGTTTAAAAGATTGAACCCTCTGCTGTCCTTCCCTTACGAGTTACGTCTTTGGGGATGGCCTAAAGACAGATTGAGGTAGGGAGTTCCAGAGGATTGGAAAGGCAGTCCTGGAGGTGAGCATACAGTCAGGTCCATAAATATTGGGACATTGACACAATTCTAACATTTTTGGCTCTATACACCACCACAATGGATATGAAATGAAACAAACAAGATGTGCTTTAACTGCAGACTGTCAGCTTTAATTTGAGGGTATTTACATCCAAATCAGGTGAACGGTGTAGGAATTACAACAGTTTGCATATGTGCCTCCCACTTTTTAGGGGCCAAAATTAATGGGACCAAATAATAATCATAAATCAAACTTTCACTTTTTAATACTTGGTTGCAAATCCTTTGCAGTCAATTACAGCCTGAAGTGTGGAACGCATAGACATCACCAGACGCTGGGTTTCATCCCTGGTGATGCTCTGCCAGGCCTCTACTGCCACTGTCTTCAGTTCCTGCTTGTTCTTGGGGCATTTTCCCTTCAGTTTTGTATTCAGCAAGTGAAATGCATGCTCAATCGGATTCAGGTCAGGTGATTGACTTGGCCATTGCATAACAGTCCACTTCTTTCCCTTAAAAGACTGCTTTTGCAGTCTGCTTTGGGTCATTGTCCATCTGCACTGTGAAGCGGCGTCCAATGAGTTCTCAAGCATTTGGCTGAATATGAGCAGATAATATTGCCCGAAACACTTCAGAATTCATCATCGGCTGCCTTTGTCAGCAGTCACATCATCAATAAATACAAGAGAAGCAGTTCCATTGGCAGCCATACATGCCCACGCCATGACACTACCACCACCATGCTTCACTGATGAGGTGGTATGCTTAGGATCATGAGCAGTTCCTTTCCTTCTCCATACTCTTCTCTTCCCATCACTCTGGTACAAGTTGATGTTGGTCTCATCTGTCCATAGGATGTTGTTCCAGAACTGTGAAGGCTTTTTTAGATGTCGTTTGGCAAACTCTAATCTGGCCTTCCTGTTTATGAGGCTCACCAATGGTTTCCATCTTATGGTGAACCCTCTGTATTCACTCTGGTGAAGTCTTCTCTTGATTGGTGACTTTGACACACATACACCTACCTCCTGGAGAGTGTTCTTGATCTGGCCAACTGTTGTGAAGGGTGTTTTCTTCAACAGGGAAAGAATTCTTCGGTCATCCACTACAGTTGTTTTCCGTGGTCTTCCGGGTCTTTTGGTGTTGCTGAGCTCACCGGTGCGTTCCTTCTTTTTAAGAATGTTCCAAACAGTTGTTTTGGCCACGCCTAATGTTTTTGCTATCTCTCTGATGGGTTTGTTTTGTATTTTCAGCCTAATGATGGCTTGCTTCACTGATAGTGACAGCTCTTTGGATCTCATCTTGAGAGTTGACAGCAACAGATTCCAAATGCAAATAGCACACTTGAAATGAACTCTGGACCTTTTATCTGCTCATTGTAATTGTGATAATGAGGGAATAACACACACCTGGCCATGGAACAGCTGGGAAGCCAATTGTCCCATTACTTTTGGTCCCTTAACAAGTGGGAGGCACATATGCAAACTGTTGTAATTCCTACACCGTTCATCTGATTTGGATGTAAATACCCTCAAATTAAAGCTGACAGTCTGCAGTTAAAGCACATCTTGTTTGTTTCATTTCAAATCCATTGTGGTGGTGTATAGAGCCAAAAATGTTAGAATTGTGGCCATGTCCCAATATTTATGGACCTGACTGTAGGTGGAGGCGATGAGAGAGCAGGAAGTCTTGGAAGGAATAAAGATGACTTTTTGGGTGACATGGTTTCATAGTTGGTGTTCAGAATTATGGCAACAACTTGCCAATACCTGGTTAAACATCAGATGACTCTGGCAGCTAGACAATGTATCCTTCAAGGTTTCATTTGCAGCTTTTGAGTGAGTTGTACTTTATCTTGTTGCAATAATTTTTGCTTTCTTGTAGCTCGATGTGATTATAGCAGACCTGGATGGAGGTACAATCAAAATTCCGGAATGCATCCACCTCTCCGTGCTGCCGGAGCCCCTCTTCCAGCAGATCCAGTCTGCCCTCTCCATTGTAAGTTCTGCCTAACAGGAAGATTCATGTACAGTTGGATTCATCCTGCTTTTTGGCCACTGATGGCTCCTCTCATTCCCAGGTTCTGCATCCGGATCTAGATGTTGCAGATTATGCCTTTCCTCCTCTGCGCACATCTTTGTCTCATGTGAAAATGCTGGTAAGTGGGCTGATGGATCCCCAAATTCTCATCATACTGGAGGTAGTGACCTGTCCATATGTGTGATTGTGTGGAAAAAAAAAGGAATGCTTGTGACAGCAACACGAGAAATAGAAGTGGGAAGCAAATTCCTCTAGCATTGCTATTTCAGGAGAGGAGAGTTATAGAGGAAGGAGCGGAGTCCTCCAGCAGAGAAGAGTATTTCAGGAGAGGAGAGTTATAGAGGAAGGAGCGGAGTCCTCCAGCAGAGCAGAGTATTTCAGGAGAGGAGAGCTATAGAGGAAGGTGCAGAGTCCTCCAGCAGCGCAGAGTATTTCAGGAGAGGAGAGTTATATAGGAAGGAGCGGAGTCCTCCAGCAGAGCAGAGTATTTCAGGAGAGGAGAGTTATAGAGGAAGGAGCGGAGTCCTCCAGCAGAGCAGAGTATTTCAGGAGAGGAGGGCTATAGAGGAAGGAGCGTAGTCCTCCAGCAGAGCAGAGTATTTCAATGAAGAGTTAGATAGTGGAAAGAGCAGAGTCATCCAGCAGTGCAGAGTAGTTCAGGAGAGGAGAATTATAGAGGAAAGTGCAGAGTCCTCCAGCCGTGCAGAGTATTTCAGGAGAGGAGAATTATAGAGGTCGGAGCAGGGGCGGACTGACAACTCAAGGGGCCCCGGGCAATAGGGGATCATGGGGCCCCTGTGTCCTTGCCCAAACAAAAAAGCCTATGAACAAGGTACCAGGGCATCTCAGGGGCCCCCCACTGACCCCGGGCCCTTGGGCAGTGCCCGACTTTCCAAATGGTCAGTCCGCCCCTGGGTCAGAGCAGAGTCCTCCAGCAGTGCAGAGTAGTTCAGGAGAGGAGAATTATAGGAAGGAGCAGAGTTCTCCAGCAGGGCAGAGTATTTCAGGACAGGAGAATTATAGGAAGGAGCGGAGTCCATCAGCAGGGCAGAGTAGTTCTGGAGATGAGATTTTATAGGAAGGAGCAGAGTCCTCCAGCAGGGCAGAGAATTTCAAAAGATGGGGAAGAGCATGTACAGTGAAGCTCCAAAGTGAAAGACTCATGTGCGTCTCCTTTCCCTCCCTCCGTGCTCCTGCAGGATAAAGAAGTGCGCGGCATCTTCCTGCGTTTATTCGCTCAGATATTTCAGGGATATCGCTCCTGCCTTCAGCTTATCAGGATACATTCAGAACCAGTCATCCACTTCCACAAGGTAATGTGACGTCCGCTGTTTATTTCTTATTTGTTTATTGCAACCTTTGCAAATGGGCAAGAATAAGATGCATGAGAATGCATGTCCCTAGACGCTGGTTAAAAAAAAAAAAAGCAGCTCAGGTTGCTACACACTTTCAGTACAGAGCTGTCTCCTGCAGTACCTCTTCTTTGCCACAAGATCTCCTCAGACTTAGGGATCAAATGACACCCAGCTGCAGCCAACCCAAAAGACCATATGTGTAGGATGTCATAGCCCTGCCCCTGGGAAGGGTGCCCAGGACTCGGTGTACTGATGTCATCACG